AGTCTTCAATGAAAAGAAGATCTTCTTTTATGTATTCTATAGACAGACTGCCTCTATAGGTATTCTACATACAGAAAATATCTAAAAGTCGACTTTATAAAGATGATCTCAATATGTCGACTGTACAGGAGGAAAATACCTCAATCTGTCTGCTAAAGTCAGAAAACCTAAATAATTATTTTGAAGTCAAATTACTTCTCCAGGTCTTCAGTAGGTAGAGGTCCTCTATTGATCATACATATACAGAAAACTTCTATATAGAATATCTGAGAGAAGATATAATTTACAAAAAAAAAATGCTCTCGGTCTTCTATATATAGTGTTTTTGAAGATATATACCTACATATAGGGTCTCCTATAAAAAAAACACACAGTAGGCTGAATATGGAAATTGTTTCAAAATAGTGTCTATATTACATTTTAGTTCCAGCAATTTCCGTCAGAAGTGTTGTTTGTAGCATAGACATGAACCATTTGTTGTGAATTACCGACCCCTGTGATCGTTATCAAAGACACAACCGTTGCGGTCAATATTATAATGTTGATTGTGAAGTATAGATGGCGCTGCAGGTTCTGACAATAATTGTCCGACTAAAATTCAATACACCACAATTCCCACATTCTTCCTACTGTCGTCTAAACTCAATTGATAACCTTTGGAAGTTTTGGAATTTACATCTGTTGGACTTTTTCTATTATAGCCATATAACGGTGATGTCACATTTTAGGGTCTTCGCACTTTTGGTATACCAATTCCCAAACAACTTTTAATAACGTTCCAATGCTTCGGCATATTTCCAATGCAAAGTCCACACCCAATTTTAGTAATTATTTATAGTCTTATTCATATTTTCCAAAAAATGGATGTACATACAGAAGTTCCGCCCATTTTTAAAGTATTTTGATAGTCTTAGTCATACACTTTTTTGATATTTATGGCCCCAATATATTGTAACCCGCATACTCTTTTTACTTTATTCCGTGAACTACCTAAATTCTCTAAATTTCATGCCAACATGAAGTAATCAAACCTGTTAGCTAACTGCCATCGGATGTTGTAAGAGATCTGTTTACCCTAAAGTGTTGTAGTATTAGTAGTAATACTAAATATTACTATAATATCCAGTCGTAATAAAAAATACCACTATTATCGACATGAGCTATACCTCTACATACATACCTCTATAGTAAAATAAATGCTGTTCATGCAACACAAATCGCATATTTATTTATACCTCCATTTTTTGTTTTACCCACAGTAGTGGTATTAACTTGCGATGAAAATATGTAAAAATCACCCATAAAAGTTTATTAGAACACTATTACATACTTAGATGCAATTTTCTTTACATATTTTCATATTTTTAGTTGTTGTTGATGTTGGTATATCTCCCACCAATAACAATATTTCGTTATGTTTATAACTTTGATTAAAATTTGTTTGTCAGATAGAATGTGATGCGATAAAAAACAACTATAACAACAACAGTTTGTGTGAAGAACCAGTGAGGAATACGAAATGAGTTGGATTCGATTTTTTTGGTAGTTCGGAAAATTGTTTGGTTTTGAAGGTTCGGTGAGGGTATATGTTGTGAGAGGTCGTGTATAATGGGATAAGTGGTGAGAAGGGAATATATTCCAACAATATATGCAAATTCTATTTCAAAGAATTAAGTTGTGAAATTATTTTCAGGTATGGTAATCCAAAAAAAGATAAAAATTACGGAGGTATCGAATTGTTTATACTCTCCACCAAGAAGAGGCTTCAAAAACCTAAAACTGGCAGTAGCCGTATTTGTTTGCTATATCACAATATGGAGCCAAACTGAAAATTTTATGTCAGGAGATTTCTTATCCATAGCAAAATCGAAAGACAAATTTACTGGCATATAGGTTGACAGATAAATATAAATAGCCGGGACTTTTTATGGGAGATATATTGACAATTTTCTGCCTAGAGGTCTGCTATCCTATGGAAATAAAAATGATTTAAATATACCAACATCGTTTAAAAAATGTAGACACATGAGGTCTTCTATCGCCAGAAGGCCAACAGCTTCTGTTTCTCGAGGACCAATAGTTTTTTTTTATATATATAGAAGAGGCCTTCTTTTTATTAAAGAACTGAGAAAAGTCGATAAAGAAAAACGATGGAGGCCTTGAGTCTATAGAATAGCGTTGAGGACTTCTGTCTCAAAAGATGAACGATAAAGGTCTTTTTTCTCAATAGACCCCCTATAGAGGTGGTATTCTGTCGCAATAGAAAACCGGTAGAGGAGGTCTACTGTCGCAATAGAAGATCGATAGAGGATGTCTTCTGTCGCAATAGAAGATCGATAGAGGTTTTTATCAAACCGATAGAGGTCTTCGGTCGCAATAGATGAACGATAGTGGCCTTCTATGGCAATAGAAGAGCGATATAGGTCTTCTCTGTCAATAGAAGACCGATAGAGCTCTTCTATGTCAATAGAAGACCGATAGAGCTCTTCTATGTCAATAGAAGACCGATAGAGGTCTTCTATGTCAATAGAAGACCGATATAGGTCTTCTATGTCAATAGAAGACCGATAGAGGTCTTCTATGTCAATAGAAGACCGATAGAGGTCTTCTATGTCAATAGAAGACCGATAGAGGTCTTCTATGTCAATAGAAGACCGATAGAGGTCTTCTATGTCAATAGAAGACCGATAGAGGTCTTCTATGTCAATAGAAGACCGATAGAGGTCTTCTATGTCAATAGAAGACCGATAGAGGTCTTCTATGTCAATAGAAGGCCGATAGAGGTCTTCTATGTCAATAGAAGACCGATAGAGGTCTTCTATATCAAAAGAAGACCGATAGAGGTCTTCTGTCTCAATAGAAGACCGATAGAGGTCTTCTGTCTCAATAGAAGACCGATAGAGGTCTTCTGTCTCAATAGAAGACCGATAGAGGTCTTCTGTCTCAATAGAAGACCGATAGAGGTCTTCTGTCTCAATAGAAGACCGATAGAGGTCTTCTGTCTCAATAGAAGACCGATAGAGGTCTTCTGTCTCAATAGAAGACCGATAGAGGTCTTCCGTCTCAATAGAAGACCGATAGAGGTCTTCTGTCTCAATAGAAGACCGATAGAGGTCTTCTGTCTCAATAGAAGACCGATAGAGGTCTTCTGTCTCAATAGAAGACCGATAGAGGTCTTCTGTCTCAATAGAAGACCGATAGAGGTCTTCTGTCTCAATAGAAGACCGATAGAGGTCTTCTGTCTCAATAGAAGACCGATAGAGGTCTTCTGTCTCAATAGAAGACCGATAGAGGTCTTCTGTCTCAATAGAAGACCGATAGAGGTCTTCTGTCTCAATAGAAGACCGATAGAGGTCTTCTGTCTCAATAGAAGACCGATAGAGGTCTTCTGTCTCAATAGAAGACCGATAGAGGTCTTCTGTCTCAATAGAAGACCGATAGAGGTCTTCTGTCTCAATAGAAGACCGATAGAGGTCTTCTGTCTCAATAGAAGACCGATAGAGGTCTTCTGTCTCAATAGAAGACCGATAGAGGTCTTCTGTCTCAATAGAAGACCGATAGAGGTCTTCTGTCTCAATAGAAGACCGATAGAGGTCTTCTGTCTCAATAGAAGACCGATAGAGGTCTTCTGTCTCAATAGAAGACCGATAGAGGTCTTCTGTCTCAATAGAAGACCGATAGAGGTCTTCTGTCTCAATAGAAGACCGATAGAGGTCTTCTGTCTCAATAGAAGACCGATAGAGGTCATCTGTCTCAATAGAAGTCCGATAGAGGTCTTCTGTCTCAATATAAGACCGATAGAGGTCTTCTGTCTCAATAGAAAACCCAAAGAGGTCTTCTGTCTCAATAGAAAACCCAAAAGAGGTCTTCTGTCTCAATGAAATGAACGAGGACGATGTTTCCTATAATATAATATGTATCTTCTGTCTATAAAAGGCCGACAGAGTACTCTTCTGTCTATATAAAACCGATAGAATTTTTCTGTCTATGGAAGGCCGTTGGAGGTGTTCTGTTTATGGAAGACCGATAGAGGTCTTCTGCCTATGTAAGACCGATAGACATAATCTGTTTTTAGAAGAGGTTCCTTCTATCTATAGAAGGCCGATAGAGGTATTTTCTGTCTATAGAAGACCGATAGATGTCTCTGCTGTTTATAGAAGACCTATAGAATTCTCCTTTGTCTACAGAAAATCGATAGAGCGATCTTCTGTCCATACAAGACCCATAAAAGTCTTATGTCTATAGAGGATCGATAAAGGTTTTATGTCCCTAGAAGACTGACAGATCGAGAAAGGTCTCTTCTGTCTATGGAAGAACGATCGAGGTCTCTTCTGTCTATAGAACTGTCTATAGACACCGATAGAGGTCTTCTGTCTTTATAATACCATGTTGAAGAACCATGGTGGTCTTCTACCCATAGTTATAGGTAAATTTTTGTATTAATGTCTATATATCCTTAGTAGCCGTCTGTTCGAATTTTGAAGGCCTTAACCACATTTTTAGGGAATACAAACCCTCCGTGAAAAAATATATCAGATTGCCTTTCACTGAGCTTTGTGAACTCAGTTCCATTCTCGCCAGTTGGCTAACTGGTAATCTGATATATTTTTTACCTGTGCTTGTAGTGTAGGGATATTTACTCCCGATCGCTAGATGGCAATGATCGTGATTCGTGGTCAACGACACCCGTCGATATGGTGTTATTTAGGTCCTACACCGTATCTTTATCCTTTTTCCCTATTTTCTCTATGTATTTTTGGGTGATATAAGCCGTAGTAGGTGGGCGGTCAGTCTTTCCTCCTATCGTCGGGTTCAGATAGTGGATCTCTTTGCCCGTTTGAAACGATAAAAATTAAAGGACTTCTACGATTTTGTTCAATATTTTGAATGTTGAATATATACCTTCGAACATCCTACTCCATAATATCCCTATTGGTTAATTAACATACCTAATTTTATGATTAACTTAAAAAAAAAATAACAAATGTCTTTTCACTCACCTCTGCTCATCATGGTAACCTTGTCACGCAGCACATTCAGCGTATGCACCCGCCCGTATTGTTCGAAAAGGGCACGTAACTTTGTTTCGTCCCATGCCTTTGGCACCTGGCCGACAAACATTTTTATCGTATCCGGATCCGGTTGTTCTTTGGCGAATTCATCTGTGTTTGTTGTCGTCGTCGTCGTCAATGATATATCTGAACATTCCATTGGTGTGCCGAATGGTACCAATGCTAAACTGTCATTAGTCGATTCTGGTTGCTGATCACTAATTTCAGTATTTGTGTGGGTATCATCGTTGTTGCTAGCTGCTGCGCTGCTACTGCCCGGCACCATACTGTAAAGAAGAAAAATAAACAAAAATAAATTTTTATTATCTTTATGTAAACAGTGAAAACAGAAAAAATAAATTCAATTAGTTATTTTCGTAGTGGGTGGGTATCCGCCATCTATTGAAGGTGTTGAAGGTAGCCACTCCATCAGATATCCTGCATCACTTTTACACCCCAACTGAACAAACGACTTAATTTTGTTTTTATAAACTACGCTCCCGGTTTAGCCGGAAACCCCTTCGGCTCTCCATTACATTTGTAATGCTATGGAAATCTGACCAGTCCTGAAACCCCCACACACACCCCTCCTGTTACCCGTGTAACTTCATTAAACTTTTGCCGGAAACTCAATTTTGTGTTCAATGTTTTGCTTTGGTATTATAATGTTTTCGTTGCTTGGTTCACCAATAACGAATGCGTGGTGTTTTATTCATAGCGAGTGGGGAGTGCGAAGGGCAGGGTATTGCAGGGGGAGGCTTTTATAAGTTCCACCGAAACAACAAAAGCTAATTTACAGATACAAGAATTCTGATTTCACATCATTACATTGTAAATTGTTTATAAATTTTCATTATTGCCGCTCACAATAGTTATGTGTATTGGTGTTGTTGTTGGATATTTTCCGGCATTTTTTGCAAATATGAAATACTTCCACACAGAGATCCAAATTCAATACAGCACACATTTGCCACGAATTTGTACAATTTATTGAAATAGAGATTAGATTGAATATTTATACCTTTTTAATGTAATTCGCAGCGAATATGCTGGGCTACATGCTGTGGAATAAAACATCTGCCACAATTGGCCAATAATTTAGGAGGATGGGGTCAAAAGGTTAGAAAAATGATTGTTTAACAATTAAATTTTTTTAAGGGACTACAGAAGGCGAGAATTTTTTAAAGAATATTTTTTCAAGGCGTGGAATTTTTAAAGAATATTTTTTCAAGGCTTATTTAAGGCGTGGCGTAGGGGCTCTGATTGGCTTTAACATGGCGAAGTCAAGGCTTATCTTGGTCCAGGCCTCTTTCATCTCTATTGTGGACACTGACGTCCCCGCGGTGCCACCTTGGGAGCTATTTTCATCACCCGATGAAATAGTGAGCTAATATGTGCCGCGAGTTCATCCATAAGAACTATAAAAAATGGGGTTAGTTGTCCACTCTCGGAAAACCCAACCTACTATGAAAAAACAAAGAAAAAACAAAACCCCCTAATGTTGACGACCCCCGCAAACGTATAAAGGACCACGATCTGGGAATCTGCAATTGGAATGTGCGCACGTTGTACAGAAATGGTGCAGTGTTCGCTTTGGCGGATGTACTCAAGAAGTACAAAGCAGGCGTAAGTAAATCAGATGATTACGCCCTGTATTATAGCCACCATGAAACGAGACATGAATTTGGCTGCGGATTTATGGTTATTAGGAGAATAAAATACCTCGTCTCCAGATTCACTCCAGTAGATGAGCGAATTGCTATAATCCGTATAAAAGCGAAGTTCTTCTACATCAGTCTCATTTGCGCCCATGCTCCGACCGAAGATAAAGATGAACAGACCAAAGACATATTTTACGAGCGCCTAGAAACAGCATATTACCGTTGCCCTGGCCATGACATTAAAATTCTGCTAGGAGATTTTAATGCAAAAATCGGAAGGGAAAATATGTTTGGCCCCACCGTCGAAAAATTCAGCCTCCATGAAGAAACATCAGGCAACGGCATGAGGTTGATTGACTTCGCGGCAGCAAAAAACATGGTAGTTAGCAGCACCAGATTCAAGCATCTCGATATACACAAGGCCACTTGGATTTCTCCCGATCGAACAACGAGAAATCAAATCGACCACCATTAAGAAATCCGTGGTACGATCAGGAGTGTCGTAATGCTACTGATATGAAAAACGCAGCGTATAGGGCAATCCTGCGGACGGTAGCAACACGTAATGCGATGGAGAACTATCGGGAGAAAAGGTGAGAGGAGAAACGTATTTTCAGAAAAAAGAAGAAAAAGCAAGAAAAGCGTGAGCAAATCGAGATATACAGGAGTCACACTGAAGTCCGAAAATTCTACCAACGAGTTAAACACCAACCCGAAGGCTTTGGTGCAGGCACATCCTCCTGTAGAGATAAAAAAGGACATCTGGTAACAGATACAGACAGCGTGCTGAGGATCTGGAAGGACCATTTTGAAAAATTTCTGGTATCAAATAGTAGCAGTGAGTTGGATACCCCAGAACCAATAATATATGACGGTATAGAGTGTATACCACCTAGCCAAGATGAAGTCAGAATATCAATCAATTGGCTGAAGAATAATAAAGTAGCAGGTGCCGATGGGTTACAAGCCGAACTATTCAAGACTGGTGGTCAGATGCTGGTAAGGAGCATGCACCAGCTGATTAGTACAATTTGGCTAGAGGAATACAACATGCCCAATGATTGGAACCTCAGTACCCTATGTCCTGCGCACAAAAAAGGAGACAAGAAAATATGTGACAACTATAGAGGAATAAGTCTCCTTCCCATCGCATATAAAGTGCTATCCAGCGTGCTGTGTGAACGACTGAAGCCAAAGGTCTATGACATTATTGAACCATACCAATGCGGCTTCTGACTTGAAAAATCCACCCTTGATCAGATTTTTACTCTGCGCCAAATCCTGGAAAAACCCACGAAAAACACATTGACACATACCACCAATTCGTCGACTATAAAGTCGCATTCGACAGCCCTATCCGTTCAGAGGTGTTTAAAGCCATGCCTTCGTTTGACATTCCTGCAAAATTAATTCGGCTATGCAGGATAACTTTAACAGGTACAGGACAGGGACGTACGCAGGGGGGGAGCACCCCGAAATGAATTTTTTCCACTGTAAATTTATGTTTACAACCGCGAATTTTTCATTTTGTACTACCGGGGCTGATACTGATACTACCCTTGCTGTTATATGGATCTGAACCATGGGTAGTTACGCCAGCAGATGAGGCAGCTCTGGGAGTGTTTGAGAGAAAAATTATCCGAAAGATTAAGGGCCGATCTGCGTTGACGGTGGATACCGTCGTCGAAAGAACCATGAGTTGTACCAGTTTTTCCCGGACATCGACATTGTTAAACTCATTGAGCTGCCTCGACTACGTTAGCTAGGTCATGTTGTGAGAATGGATAAAGATGACCCAGCCCAGAAGGCATATAAAAGCGAACCAGCTGATGGTTCGCGCAGAAGGGGAAGGCCAAGTATACGTTTGAAAGATCAAGTGGAAGAAAACAATGCCGAAAATGGTCTTTCAAATTGGAAAAACTGCGCAAATGACCGACGCGTCAGCAAATCTTTTCTAAGCTCTCAGTAAGTAAGTATTTAAGGCGAGGATTTTTTAAAGAATAATTTTTCAGGCTTATTAAAGGGGTGGATTTTGTAAAGGATATTTTTTCAAAGCCTTATAGAAGGCGTGGATTTTTTAAAGAATATTTTTTCAAGGCCTTATAGAAGGCGTGGATTTTTTAAAGAATATTTTTTCAAGGCCTAATAGAAGGCGTGGATTTTTTAAAGAATATTTTTTCAAGGCCTAATAGAAGGCGTGGATTTTTTAAAAAATATTTTTTCAAGGCCTAATAGAAGGCGTGGATTTTTTAAAGAATATTTTTTCAAGGCCTTATAGAAGGCGTGGAATTTTTTTCAAGGCCTTATAGAAGGCGTGGATTTTTTAAAGAATATTTTTTCAAGGCCTTATAGAAGGCGTGGAATTTTTTTCAAGGCCTTATAGAAGGCGTGGATTTTTTAAAGAATATTTTTTCAAGGCCTTATAGAAGGCGTGGAATTTTTTTCAAGGCCTTATAGAAGGCGTGGATTTTTTAAAGAATATTTTTTCAAGGCCTTATAGAAGGCGTGGAATTTTTTTCAAGGCCTTATAGAAGGCGTGGATTTTTTAATGATTATTTTTTCAAGGCCTTATAGAAGGCGTGGATTTTTTAAAGAATATTTTTTCAAGGCCTACTTAGACAAGGCGAGGATTTGTAAGGAATGTTTTTTCAAGGCCTTAGACAAGACGTTGATTTGTTAAAGAATATTTTTAAAGGCCTACTTAGACAAGGCGTGGATTTGTGAAGAATATTTTTTCAAGGCCTTAAAGAAGGCGTGGATTTTTTAAAGAATATTTTTCTCAAGGCCTTATAGAAGGCGTGGATTTTTTAAAGAATATTTTTTCAAGGCCTTATAGAAGGCGTGGATTTTTTAAAGAATATTTTTTCAAGGCCTTATATATGGCGGGGATTTTTTTAAAGAATATTTTTTAAGGCCTTATAGAAGGCGTGGATTATTTAAAGTATATTTTTTCAAGGCCTTGTAGAAGGCGTGGATTATTTAAAGAATAGTTTTTCAAGGTCTTATAGAAGACGTGGATTATTTAAAGAATAGTTTTTCAAGGCCTTATTGAAGACGTGGATCATTTAAAGAATAGTTTTTCAAGGCCTTATAGAAGGCGTGGATTTCTTAAAGAAAATTTTTTCAAGGCCTTATAGAAGGCGGAAATTATTTAAAGAATATTTATTCCAGGCCTTATAGAAGGCGGAAATTATTTAAAGAATATTTATTCCAGGCCTTATAGAAGGCGGAAATTATTTAAAGAATATTATTTCAAGGCCTTATAGAAGGCGTGGATTTTTTAATGGATATAATTCTTCACCCCTCCCTCGTAAAATTCCCATAGTTATTTTTGGTATTGAACATGGTATTAGTAAAACATGCATAACTAAAATATTTGACACTTTATTACCATTTGCTTGTAACTAGGATGCTCATACATGTATTTGTTTTATGTAAATATGCATAAATTTGTACCACTACAACTACTACTAATAATAATACATGCGAGCTCACACACAGTCACTGTTATACATTGCCAAACGAAAACTAACTTAACAGAAACGAACACAGGCACACACTCCCATACAGTCAATTTAAATAGAGTCCTAATCAAAACAAATAAGCAAATAAACTAAATCATATTT